ACTCATTCCCTCTCTTGGTTTGCTTCTCATACCAGATCTGGACTCCTGCCACAGGGGCAGGCACAGGCTGCCCCTCTCTCTCTGCCTCTCAGGATGCTGCAGACCTTTGCTGGGCCCCCCGTGATGCTGCATCTTTCCCAGCTCACTCAGCCCATCCCAGCTTCCTTCCTGCCCTTCCCCGACCTCTTGCAGCTCCACTCCAGTGTTCCTTTGGGGAGGAGCTGCCAGAACTGCAGCCAGGATTTTAGTCCACGCTAAGCAGGATTTAGGCAGTGCCACGAGGGTGTGCTCTCCATCAGGGAGGAAGGGAAGAGCAAACACCCCCAGCATTTCATTCCGTGGGGTTGGAGCAACAGCAGTGGTTTTCCACCTCTCCTGTGTAGAGTTTCCATGGTACCATCCCGAGAGCCCCACTGCCCTCTCTTGGAGCAGCAGTGGCCAGATCAGGCTGTCATTCTCTGCTGACACTCAGGACTAGTTCTCCCCTTGCAGGCACATGTCCTTCTCTGCATCAGCACTTGGCTCTCCTCTCTTCTCTCACCACTGGCTGCTCTCAGATGGCCAAGGCCAAACACCTTGCTATTAACAGCAAACTTGGTCTCCAGATATTTATTAATCTGAACATGCACATGAGGAATTGCCCAAACCATGCAATGTCAGTAGAGACAGTGTGGACATTGAGAACTAAAGCTTCTAGGGCACAGAACTCCATCATGGAGAAAAATCAGCAGCCTCAGCACTAACTGGCTTTGACATGACTACAACATCTTTTCCTCTTTATTCAGAAGAATGCAATTAGAAAAGTTAAACTGGAAAAAGGTGATCCTTAGAACTATTAACACAAGGTCCAATCATAGCTAGGAAATGGCCCTTTGTGGCATCTGCCAATCTCACCAGTACATCCTTCCTTTCCTTCTCCAGGCTCTCCAATTTCCTCTGCAGAGATGCCACCTCCTGACGAAGAGTCTCAGTCTCTTCCTGCCTTTCAGCAGCCTCTTTCTGCAGGGCAATTTCTCGAGAGGTGTACTTGAGTTCTGCATTCCACCAATCTGCAGCGGGGAAGGGGAAGGGGAAAAGCAAAGCAAAGGCAAACTGATGTGCATCCTGCAAACACAACAGCACTGTCTTCTCTGCCTGCCTGTGTTGGCCAGGCCCTAGACCCACAAAGGATCCAAAGCTGACAGAAATGAAAGAAACTTCCAGACAGAGAGAAAAGCAGGAATGAATGGGGCAAGGTTCAAAGGAATAGGAAAGTGTGTTTGCTCTTGGGCTTGTGCAGAGTGAGCAATCCAAGAGAGACAAAGGAGCAGGGATGCCTGTGCAGCCCTGCTCCAGAGGGATCAATACCCTGGAGGCTCTGGCAGGGCCTGGAGTTTGGGGGATTGAGCTGAGGCATCCAGCTACAGTTCCTTAGCACAGTCACCATCTGAAAGGCACCAGCTGTGCACAGGATCAGCCATAGCACAGCCAGGTGGCACTGCCAGCCACAGCATCTTTCTTGAGAAAAAGCTTTCACTGGCACTACAATGGATAAATGTCCTGCTGGATGTTTTTTCCCCTCTGCCATCTCTGGGCACTTTTCCTCTGTGTGACATCAGAGATCCTCACTGGCAAGACAGGATGAGGCAATGGGTGGGAGAGCAGAAGCAGTACCTTGCTCGCTTTCCTCCAATTTCATCTACAGCTCCTGGTTGTTGGCTCTGAGTTTGTCCATCTGAGCCTTTGCCTTCCTCAACTCCAGCTCTGAGGCGTTACACTGCAGGGCCAAGGCAAGAGCTTTGTCATCAGACCTCTGGAGCCTCATACGCATCTCAGACACTTCAGTCTCCAGCACATGCACAGAGGCCTTCAAGCATCGTTCTCCTGCCTGGGAGTCCTCCAGCTCCTGCAGCAGCTGCTTCTCTCGAGTTGCCTGAGCAGCCTCAGTCTCCAGCACTGTGTCCTGCAGGGCCTGGATCTGGAAGATGGATGCACAGAGCCTCAGGGCCAGGGCTGCTCCTGAGGAGCAGAGCAGGCAGCAGGGAGAGCAACGAAGGAGAAAGGACTTCAGGCAAAAAACACACAGGAAACAGAAGGTGCAAAACCAAGGATTCCAATGAAGACAAATGTGGAGAAAAAAGGGAAAGGGAGGCAATGGACACCCTTGAGGCTGCAGCTCTGAACACTGCCTGAAGTGGCTGCGGTGGAAGTGTCCTGCCCAGCCTGCCATAGCCACGGCTGTGTCCCCACACTGCTCAGTGCCCAGCACAGGCACCAGCTCCATCTGGGACAACTCTGCTAACACAGGGACAGAGAAGCTCCAAAGGAGTCTGCTGCTGCTTCTCCTCCCAGATTTCCTGCTGGGACCCGGGAGAGAATGGGGGAAAACATTGGCAGCACACACCAGATCCAGCCTTGGCCTCAGGGTGCAGCAGCAGCCCTGGGCAGAACACGGCAGCAGTGGATGCTACTGGGAAAGGAAAGAGGTTGAGGCCTCCAAGCCAAAGATGGTGTTGTGTGTCCATGGGGAAGAGGATGCAAGTGCACAGCTTACCTGGGTGTTGAGCTCCTCTAGTTCTCTTCTATGCTCAGAACGGAGCTGCTCAGTCTCCTGAAGAGCAGAATGAAAATGAGACACCTGATTGTTCAGTGCCAGGTTCTTTTTTTCCAGTGTTTTCTGAGGCACGGGTTCTTTTCCTCCAGAGACAGATCAGCCTAGAAGGAAAGCATGACACTCGTTGCTACATGGTATCACATTTTATAAACTCTTAGGACTTGCACCACCTCGGGGAAAATCTGCTCTGTCTGATGAGCTTTGTCTAAACAACTTGGCTGTTTGTTCCCCCTGCAGTCACAGCCCAGCACGTGTCCACTGCTTTTGTTCCTGAAAGAATGGGGAGTTCCTGCCTACATGCCCTGTCTTCTTTTTGAGATGGAAATGTGAATACAAACCTAACAAATTTTGTAGTGAAGACATTAAGGGAGAGGAATAATTTTCTTCTGACTAATTATGCTCCAAGGGGGGGAGGTTTGTCAACATGGAAGACACATTTCCTTCCCACATCTTGTATGTCCAGGTGGGAGGAGCAGCACCCTACAGCCAGGGGATCCCTGGGAAGTTCCCTAAAATTTACCAGCACCCATCCTACTTTCAGCTGGAGAAACAAAGGCCAAAGGCAGAAGTGGCTACAGAGGCTTTGAATACAACCTGATGGAAGTTGCAGAAACCTCCAGGCAAGGAAGAGTGCTCTGCCTTCCTTCGTCTTCTTCTTGGAAAAAGAATCCTGCGGCACTGAAGACTGGCAGGACTTGATCAGCTGGAGGAGCCCCTCCTAACCTTGCTCTTGTTCCTTGCATTCTTTGCAGTCAGTAATGCCTGTGACTGTGGAGGGTGGCAGAGACCCTGCTTGACACCTTCCAGGCAGTGGGGGGCATTTTATGAGGAATGATGCAACAAAGACATTCTTGTTTCTTGGGTGCCTCCGAAGATAATCTGGCCGAGATCAGCAGTCAGGGCCTTAGGATGGTTCTGCCCAGCAAAGGCAGCAGATGCCAGCCTGATCCAGATCCCAAAGGCTTCAAGTTACAGGACCCAAGGTGGAAGTGTCCACCTCCTTACACTGCAGGTTCGGCAGTGTTAACACACCCACCTAACCTAAGAATACAACAGTCCCTAGAGGGAAAATGCTACCCTAAAAGACTTTGCCTTCAGAAAAACTTTAACTGAAGGCTTAAAGGAAAAGAAAAAGAACACAACATTCAGATAATGAGATGTATCAGCAGGGAGAGCTCAGAATCTATCACTTAGGAAATGCTGCCAGAGCCCCTGGCAGGTGCAAAGATGGGAAAGAGGGAATCCATTCACCACAATGCAGAGTCCCACAGGCTTTCCTTTACCTGGCTTTTTCCCTCTCTAGGACATTCACGGAAGCCTGCAATTCTGAATTTTGCTGAGCCACTTCTTCCCATTGACTCCGTTCCCTCTCCAGGTTCTGCAGGTGCACTTGCAGCCCCTTCTTCTGCTGTTCTGACTCCTCCAGCCTCTTCTTGGTGTGTTCAAACTCCAACAGCTTCTACCTTGGCTGATCCTGTGCCCAGCTCACATCTTGCTGGGCTCTCTGGACAATTGCTTCCTGGGACTCTCGGGAGACTGCCAGCTGTCAACTCTCTCACCTCCAATCAAACAGAACAAAGCCGTGGTTCAAGTTGCAACAGAAGTCTGCAGGGCAGTCGTAGCGGCAGGACAGGCGGTGGATGCGCTGCAGACCGTAGTCGCAGCGTTCGCGGCCGTGGCCCGGCCGGCCTCTCCTTCGCCGTTGCCGCCTGGGATCGGCTCCTTTGCCGGGCCGGGGCCGTCCGTGCCGCCGGTTGTGGCTGCGGGGGAGGTCCCAACCCTTCCTTCGTCATCGCTGACTTCTGAGCCTGCCCCGCCTTCATGGCCGGGACCATGCCCACCCCCCTCTGCCGCGGCAGGGGTGGGTCTGACTTCTGTTTCGTTTGTAGCGTCAGCGTCGCCGCCCGCCCACCCGGAAGCGACGGTCTCCCCCCCCCGAGTTCGGCGGAAGCGGAGCCAGCCCCCCCACCGCCTTCGGCGCTGCGTCCCGCCTCGCCAGCGAGAGAGGACGCCGCTGCCCGGACGCGGGCGGGCGGGTGCCTTCCATCTATGCCTCCGACGGTCGTGCAGACACCGACACCGCCTGCGTCCCTCCTCACGCTGACGCCACTGATGGGCGGCGCCCTCTATCTCGGGGATGTGTCTCCGCTTCGGATGGGCGGCACCATGGCATTTCGGCGGCTTCTCCCCGGAGACGTCTCTGGACACTTCCCCCGTGTTTGGTCACTGTGAGACGCAGGGAAAAGCCCAGGGGTACCATCATGTATACGAAGGGGGTCGACAAGGGTGTTCAGGTGGACGTTTGTGGGCTTGGTCCGGTCTCTGGAGGGAGGCTGCCTCAGGGTGGCAGTGATGATGCCCAGAGAGCGGAGCAGCCCCAAGTTTTTCCTGTTTATAGCTGCCCCGATACAGGGCAGCAGGGACAGGGAAAGGAATGAGGACGAGGCTGACCAGAGGCCACGACAGCGAAAAGCCGATGAGGCTGCTTCTCTGTATTCTAGGCAAATCCTTTTCTCTGCATTTGCTAGTGTTTATTGTGTCTATTGCATATACCATGTCTCTTTAGGTCAGATTTATGCAGCAAGGTTGTCCTCACTTATCCATATTTTGAAAGGGAATTCTCAGCTGGATCCACCTTGGGGACTGACCTTTTCCTCCAGTCCAGACTCATATCCTACAGGTACCAGTGGTCAGTGGAATGATCCTTTCCACAGTCTAGAGTAGGTCTTTCTACCCCATCTGTTAATGGAGATGGCAACCCATCCAACGGTGTTTGAATTGTTTGTTCAATTGATAATTAAATGCCATTAACGATGCTTGCAATTCATGGCAGCGGGTTCTGCAGGAATTATTCTGTTGCTTATAGTCTGCCCAGCCAGGAGCTCTTGCAATTGGCAAAAACAGTCAAGCTGTCATTGAGACCCAGAAGTACTCAGATGCCAGTGCAAGGCCCTGCTGTCTTCACTGACGGACTAGGAAAAATAGGAAAAGCCACTGCTGCCTGGGAGGATGAGTCTGGCTGGCAGGTGTTGGAAGGCCATAAGACAGGCTCTGCTCAAATACGTGGGTTGAAGGCTGTCACCATGGCATTCCAAAGGTTTTCTCAGTTACCTTTGAATTTGGTCACTAACTCCATTTCTGTTGCAGGCATAACTCAGTGCTTGGATTGTCCATTTCAGCTGCTGAAGGCCTTGTGCTGCACAATTCAAGCCCAAGTTCATCTGTATTATGTTCTGCACATACGGAGCCACCGACATTTACCAGGTTTTCTGATGGGGGGCGATGCCAAGGCTAATAGGTTGGCTAACCCTGTATGGGTGGCACCTCAGTCTGGCAGGATTGCACAAGCCATGACCTTTTCCTTCTGAATGCATGCACTCTGCGAAGGCAATTTCCTTTAATTGCAGCCAAGGCTCGTGACATTGTCAAATTTTGGATTGACGGTCGTGGTCTTGCAGCATTTTTGCCAGTGGGGGTGGACCCTAGAGGTCTTACGGCCCTGCTGCGTTGGCAACCAGATGCTACATCACTGCAATTGGCAAATTCAGGTACATGCGTGTGTCTATTGCTACCTTTTTCTCCACCATATGGGTATCTGCTCATATTGGAGAGAAGGGTTGCGGTGTGACTGCCCATTGAAGGATGGCTTTTTGTGATTTTGGGCATGCCTTCTGCTGTGAAAACCGACAATGGCCCTGCTTATGTCTTTCAAAAGACAAAGCAGTTTTTACAGATGTGGAGAGTCTCACACAAACTTGGCACTCCACATTCTCCGACAGGTCGAGCCATTGCTTTATGTGTTTTGGGTCTTCTGAAGCATGTTTTGGACAGACAGAGAAGGGGAATGGCTGGTGAAACACCACACAGCTGATTTGAAAAGGCTTTGTGTGCCATCAATCACCTTACAGTGCCACAAGATTCCAATAATCCTGTTGTTGTGAGTCACTTTGCCTCATTACAGGCTCTGGACAGCACACCTGCCTCGAGCAAAGGCTCTGGTATGTGACCTGACCATGGACAAATGGGAGGGCCCACATGGACTTATCGTTTGGGGCCACGGGAACGCTTGTGTTTCAATGGATACTGGAATATGCTGGCTGCCTGCAAGGTGTGTCTGCCTTGACCTGCTACAGCAGAAGCAGAATGTGGCCAGTGCACAACCTTCAAGTGCTGATCACCAACCAGATCCCTGTCTGAGCTGTCTGGAAATTCTTCCTGTCTGAACTGTTCTGATATTCAAGAGCTGTATTCTGGTTTAGATAGATTTCATTAATGTATTAGATATGGTAAGATGTATGAAAAAGATATTATAGAGATTTTAGTTTTATGGTAGATTTCACTATTGTATTAGAAATAATATTTTGCAGTCTCTTGCAAGAAAGAGCAGCAGGTGCGAAAATTTTATGAATATTTGAGGTATCTTCAAGTCTCTTGAGTGGTGTCCTCCCTTGCACGGGGCTCTGCAGGGGACTACAAACACTTCTCTTTTTTCCTTTTTTTAAATAAAGAAGCGGGACTTGTGGAGGCACATTAACCTGTCGGAAAGCTGTGTGAGAACACGGGGCTTTCCCAAGGGCTGGCCTAGGGGCAAAGGTTTTCCCAGGAACAAAGGCATATGCTACTGTTTACAGAGTGCCTATTTTGAGAACTCTGTTGTTTACAATGAAAACATCTGTGCAAAAGGTGTTGCTTGCTATGGCCAGTGAGCTCTATTCACCCGGTAACCCCCAAAATTCCAGAAATTCACCCAAAAATTCCACCTTGGATCCCACAAATCCTCACCTGAAACACCCAAAGTTCCACAAATTCACCCCAAAGCCCCACCTGGAACCCCCCAAATCCCTCAAATCTCCCCCAAAACCCAGTCCTGCCCAAACCCTCCCAAATTCACCCCAAAATGCCTCAAATCCCCCGCAAAACCCCCCCAGATACCCCAAAATCAACCAAGTTCACTCCAAGACCCATCTATCTGGGACTCCCAAAATCACTAAAATACACCCGAATATCCACCTGGATACCGCAAAATTCATCCCAAAATTCATGTGGGACTCCCAAATGCTCATCTGGGACCCCCAAAATTCCACAAATTCACCCTAAAATTCAACTGGGACTCCCAAAATCCACAAATTCAACCCAAAACTCACCCGGGAACCCCAAATTCTCCCCAAAATCCTCCCCCAAATTCACTTGGTAACCCCAAAATCCCCAGAATTCAAACCAAAATTCCACCTGGGACTCTCAAATCATCTCCTCGGACCTCCAAACTTCCCAGAATTCAATCCAAAATTCACCTGGGAAACCCCCAAAATTCCACAAATTCAACCCAAAACCCATCTCAGAACCCCTAAATCCCTCAAATCTCCCTCTAAACCCACCCAGACTCCCCAAACCCCACCTGGGACTCCCAAAATTCACTCAAAAATCCATCCAGATGCCCCAAAATTCCAGAAATTCACCGCAAAACCCACCCCGGAACCCCCAAAGCTCCTGAAATTTTCAATAAAACCCCTCAGGGACCCCCCAACCCCACCGGAGACCTCCCAAAATACCTCAAGTCCCCCCAAAATGGCTCAAATCCTGAACATAGTCCCTCCGGGACACGCCCCAGAATCCCTCAAATTTACCCCAAGCCCCCCAAATTCAGCCCCAAACCCATCCCGGACCCCCCAAAATCCCTCAAATCCCACCTAGGACCCCGCAAAACCCCCCAAACCGCTCCCCCCGTTGCTCTCGGCCGCCATTTTGCGCCCTTCTTCCCTCGCGGCCGCCGCGCTCTGATTGGCCATGCACCGTGAAGCACCCAGCGCTCTCATTGGCTGAGCGTTTCCCACCCTTTCCATACCGCTCTCTGATTGGTCAGCGCCTGTTGCCGAGGGCAGACCCGTGCGCTGATTGGCTGACCGGGAAAGAACAGGGTGGGGGGGAAAGGGTGGGCTATTCTTAGGCAGGCGGCGTCATGATTGGCTGAAACGAGGTAAAGGGGGCGGGGTTACCGAGATGATCAAAGGGGTGCCGAGGCTTCCTCATGCTCAGTCCAGTGGTAGCAGCGGTTGAGGCTGCGCAGGTCTTGTGCGCTTTGAGCCAATATTTCCTTAATTTAATTAATTTAATTAACCTAATTAGTGGCCGGAGACTCGTGGCAATCAATTAAGGCGCTACTTGGCGCTGGGGCTGGCGATTTGAGGCTGTTTCGGCTTTTAAAAAGAGAAACCCGGGCCTTTGGGGTGGGGGCGTTTAAAGTGCTTTTAAATTGAATTATTAAGCTGTTCTCCAAATTTCACCTCCAAAACCTCAACAAAATCCCTCAAGGACCCTCCAAAATTCCTCCATTTCTCCCAAAATGCGCCTGGGATGCCCCAAAATTCCCCAAATTCATTCCAAAACCCACCCAGGAACCTACAAAACTCCTGAAATTTTCAATAAAACCCCTCAGGGACACCCCTATTCCCACCTGGGATCCCCCCAATTCCCTCAAATCCAATCCCAGATTCCACCTGGGACCATCAAAGTTCTACAAATTCACCCCAAAATTCACCCGGATCCTCCACAATTTGCCGGAAAATTCACCTGGGACTCCGAAATCCTCACCCAGACCCAAATCCCTCAAATCTCCCCCAGTACCCAATGCCCCCCAAAACATCCCAAATTCACCCCAAAATGTCTCAAATTCCTTCAAAACACAGACAGATACCTCCAAATACACCTAATTCACCCCATGTCCCACCTGGGACCCCCAAAATTCACTTGTATCCCCCAAAATTCATCTATGACTCCCAAATACTCACCTGGGCTCCCCAAAAACCCAGAGTTCACCCCAAAATCCCACCTGCAACCCCCCAAATCCCTCAAATCTCCCCCAAAGCCCAGTCCCCCTTAAACCTCCCAAATTCACTCAAAAACACCTCCAATCCTCCTCTAAACTTACCCAAATACCCCCAAATCCACCAAATTCATTCCAAAACCCATCTGGGACTCCCAAAAATCACCAAAATTCCCTGGAAAATCCACCTGCATCCCCCCAAATTCATCCCAGAATTCACCCAGGACTCCCAAATCCTCACCTGGATACCTCAAAATCTACAGAATTCACCCCAAAATCCACCTGGCATCCGGAAAACTCACCTGAGACTCCTATAATTCACCTGTATACCCCAAAATTTATCCAATTCACCCCAAAATTCCCCTGAGATCCCTAGAATTCCACAAATTCCCCCTAAAATTCAACTGGGACTCCCCACATTCCACAAATTCACCCCAAACCTCGCTACCTGGGATCCCTCAAAATTCCACAAATTCAACCCAGAATTCACCCGGGATCCTCCAAACTCCCAAATTCTCCCCCAAAATCAACCTGGGACCCCTCAAAACTCACCTGGATCTCCCCAAATCCCCAAAAATCCTCACGCCTACCCCAATTCACCTGGGACCCCAAAATCTCCCATATTCACTCCAAAATGATTGTGCACTTTATGCACTCCATTTTCCCACAAATGGATCTAGAGCCCTGGGTGCTGTGTATACAAACTAAACAAAAAAATACTTTCTATTCATTCTCAGCAATAAGTCTTCCTATTCCTCCTTATTTTGGACAAAACTGCCTTCACTTTCAAACTTACTCTCTTGCTCACTTTCCTGCATAATGCTTAGTCCCTGTTCTGCATGCTCATTTTCTTCACTTTTATAAGGAATCCTCTCCTCATCTTCTTCCTCTGTTTCTTCCATTTCCTGTGTGTAAGAGTCGGTCCGGAGTTTCCCTCATATGCCTCACGACCGTCACGAGGATAGAGATTATCCCAAGGACCCTCCACCCGTTTCAGGACAGGTGTTCTGGCCTGGTCGAGGTGGATGCTGGCCAAGGGACTGTTTGCTGGTGCGCTGTGCTTGCAGTTCTGTCCATGGTACAGTGCCTTTGAACAGGTACTGCACCTACAGCTGCTTCTTGGAGTGCCACGGCATGATCTGTCTGGAGCATCTCACAATGGCCCATAAATCTCCCCACCTCTTGGCCAGATGCCACTCATTTTGGAAAGGGACTATAAGAAAGCGACCCTCCAGAGAAGCCTTTGAGATCTCCCCACTGAAGATGAGTCTATTGGCTGGGGCCACGCGGACACGAGAGTCTACTGGACCAGCCCACAAGGACATCCATCTCGTCTGTTCGTAGCTATTCCCCATTCCCCCTTTCTCTCTAGCTCTCTCTTGTTAGTTTTATTTTTTTAACTCTCGCTCTTTCACAAAACTGAGTTATTGGCACTCAATAAAAGTGCATTTCTGCTTTGAGCAAAGTGACTTTGTCCTCCTGTTGTTGCCTTTTGCACCCCTGAGATCAAAACGAACCATTACGACTCCTGCCGGTATTAACAGTGGATCGTGACAATGTGCCAAGATCACCTGTTTCTCAATTAGATTTGTTTCTCCAGCTGAGTTTTAACTGTCCCTATCTTCTGGCACCGCTCGCTCGAGAGAGGTGATTGTCCTGCTCTGCTCTGGGCTGGGACTGTGCTCTCTTCAAGCCCTGGGGACAATTTTGGATGCCACA